CAAATGTGAGGCATATGAAAAATAATTCTCGACTTAAAATCTATGTCAATCTGCTATTTTATGTGATCATGATGTGTTTTTAAAACCCAAGTCGATTGTCGAAAGACTGACTTATAATCAAGTAGATACATATAAATGAACGAACGACGAAAAAATTAGCTTGGTAGCGGAATACCTCAAACGATGATAATTTTTTGTTACTTTTACACAGATTACTGAAGGGTTTATGCTGAATTTTGAGCCGAGGGCATTAATCTCTTACGTGACACGAAAAACAAACTTTTACGGTGGACATAGGCATAGCATACCTTGTAATAATAAACACGGTTTCTTGTTCCAGTTTTTAAGTCGTAACATGGGTCATTGCATGACATAACATTCAGAGCAAAACGCAGCTGTGAAACACTACTTGTATATAGTCACGAATTACTTAGTAACCTTCATAATGACCTACAAACTAATCTTATAGTATTAGACTTCTTCAAGGCATTTGACAAGGCACCACACGAAAAATTATCGGGGAAGATGGATAATTATGGCATAAGGGGAATAATTAACCTGGAAATGGGGATCAGCATTCCTAGATAATAGAACGAAACACGTTGCCCTTCATGGGGATGTATGAAGTCAAATGCCTGTGGTCAGTGGGGTGCCTCAATGCTCAGTCTTTGGTCCGCTACTTTTCCTGATTTTCATAAATGACCTCCTTGCAACAGTAACATCAAAAACACTCTTGTTTGGAAATGACTGTATTTATTCAGAACAATAAAAAATCGACAAGATTGTACCATCCTACAAAATGACTGCCTAGCCAAATGGGAACAAACTTGGGATATATATATGCTATTCCACCAAGAAAAATGCAGCTCCTTCACTGTAACAAGATCATAGTCCAACAACATGTCATGGGATACCCTAGTCCAAATAATAATGACATCTTGAAAGGCTATTTTATTTTTTTGCTGTGACGCCTTCCTACGACATAACGCCGAAGCCATTTTTTCAGTTGTACTTTGAGAGAGAATTTCTTTAACCTTGAGACCAAATTTTGCCATGAAATCTTCATTGACGGCTTGAAATGTTATCATATATAGAAACTTTTACCTTTTGTGTGCTTGTTGGTTCAAAATATTTTCAGAAATTTCCAAAAGTAATGATAAAATAAGTTATAATTCCATCCGAGGTATGGTTTTACCTTCTGCAGGGTTCGACATTAACTTTTATACCAATTTGTCCAGTTGGGCAAGTGCCCTATTACTTTTACTTGTCCGAAAGTGAAATCTACATGCCCAAACTTTTACATGCCAGGGTTGATTGTTGTGCCATGATGGCAGCAACTAGACTTGACCACTGAGATACTATGAGGCATATATGAGACAAGGAGGGAGGGAAAAGATCGAGGAATATACAGGAATTGGATCATTTACATAGAGATAGTTATTTCATAATAATTTATCTAAGAAATGCCATTTCAAAAAACCCTTCTTAATAAACTGACAACAACTGACAAATTTGTTAAAGTTTAATTTCATTTTCTCTTTCAAGCTTTTATGTTTTCCATCTTCATGATCTTGGGGAAATACACATCTGATGTCAAATTCTAAAGTTAGAACAACGAAAATAGACCTCCGCTTTCCATTGATAGGTGGTAATAACACGTGCGTCGGAAACGCCAGAGTGGTGTCCCGATTGATAACGATAATGACGAAGCAAAGCTGCTGCCGCCTGATTGGCCAATATTTTTAAATGTGATCTATTTTTGGTAAAATGGGAAATTCAGTGCGAACAAATGACGAAATATACGCATTGAAGGGGGGTTAAGACCACTTTACTCAACCGTGCGGTGTTATCACTGAGTAATCTATGGACAAAACAACAGACGCTATTGATTTTGTGAAATTTTAATCAAATAACATTTTTTTTTTCACTTGCCCGATTGGACAACCAAGATGATGTTTTTACTTGTCGGAATACGGCATTAACTTGCCCCGGGCAATCAGACAACCGTAAGTGTCGGACCCTGTTCTGATATTTCAAAATGGTTTCCCCTGATTTCCCAAGATGCTTCACTTTTGGAGAATATAAAATAAATTTTTGCACCGAACACAGTAAAATTTGACAGACCCGAAATTCTAGATAATATAAAACGCGTTCCAGAAATTCAGGTCTGTCAAATTTTACAGATTAGGGTGCAAAAATTTATTTTATACTCTCCAAAAGTGAAGAATCTTTGGAAATCAGGTAAACGTTTTAAAAAAGCAGTAGATCTAATCATTGCCCGTCTCAGATGGAATTGTAACAACTTTTATCATTAAAGGGGCACTAGCTACGAGATATATAAAAAATCTAATATATGATTTTTTGTTTTGTTCAATCATTAATGTAACATTAAGTAACATTTTCACGAATGTGACTTACCGAATTAGACTATTTACCGGATTTGTAATAACATAAGCAACACGACGGGTGCCACATGTGGAGCAGGATCTGCTTACCCTTCTGGAGCACCTGAGATCACCCCCAGTTTTTGGTGGGGTTTGTGTTGCTTAGTCTTTAGTTTTCTATGTTGTGTCATCTGTACTATTATTTGTCTGTTTGTCTTTTTATTTTTGGCCATGGCGTTGTCAGTTTGTTTTCGATCTATGAGTTTGACTGTCCCTCTTTTAATGAAAGTGAAATAGTGAAATACTGTAAATTCAGAAATTATTGCGAGGTTTTTATTATTGCGACAAATGCGACAGAGTTGTAAACGCAATAATTTAAACTCGCATTTTGAAATATTTTATATGAACTAAACAGGATTTTTCTCAAAATCGTAAAAATTAAAATCGCATTTAAGTCTAAAATGACAAAATCGCAATAATAAATGCCCGCAATAATTTCTGAATTTACAGTAATTATTTTCTTTTAGCCGCCAGTATATGTATGGTTCAATTTTGTCAAAATAGGCTAAGAAACATTGATGATGAATTATTCACTAGCAAGTGAATAATTCGACCTCATTGAAACCGTATTCATGTGAACTTCAATTTAACCCCTTAGCTAGAGATGGATAACTCGTGAATTGTATGTGTAAAGTTATTTAAAGAATGTCAACATTGAAAGTGAAACAAAGGTAAATCATTTGATTGACTGATCTGATCCACAAAAAATCATTCTTATACAGGTAAAAACGATGAAAAACATATATTTTTATACGACGCAAAAAAATTTTGCAGTCGTATATTGGTATATGACATTGGCGTTCGTGTCGTCGTCGTCCGAAGACACATTGGTTTTCGCACTCTAACTTTAGTTCAAGTGAATGGATCTCTATGAAATTTTACCTTAAGGTTCAATACCACAAAAGGAAGGTTGGGATTGATTTTTGGGGTTATGGTACCAGCAGTTAAGGAATAAGGGGCCAAAAATAAGCATTTTTGTAAATTCAAGACATAACTTGTGTGTTAGTGTATGGATCTCTCTGACATTGTACCAAAAGGTTCCATATCACAAAGGGAATGCTGGAATTGATTTTGGGGGTAAATGCCGCAAAATTTTAGGAATTGGGGACCAAAAAAGAGGCAAAAAACAAGCATTTTTCTAGTTTCATGATAATAACTTGTGTGTAAGTGTATGGATCTTTCTAAAATTGTACTACAAGGTTCCATATCACAAAGGGAAAGCTGGAATTGAGTTTGGGGGTAATTGCCCAAAACGTTGAGGAATAAGTGGCCAAAATTAAGCATTTTTCTAGTTTCCAGAGAATAACTTGTGTTCAAGTGTATGGATCTCTCTGAAATTGTACTGCAAGGTACCATACTACAAAGGGAAGGCTGGGATTGATTTTGGGGGTAATTGCCTCAAAATTTTAGAAATAAGGGACCAAAAAGGGGAAAAAAACAAGCATTTTTCTAGTTTCATGACCATAACTTGTGTGTAAGTGTATGGATCTTTATGAAATTGTACTACAAGGTTCCATATCACAAAGGGAAAGCTGGGTTTGAGTTTGGGGGTAATTGCTCTAAATGTTTAGGAATTTGAGGCCAAAAAGGGGCCAAAAAAAACAAGCATTTTTCTAGTTTCCAGACAATAACGTATTCAAGTGTATGGATCTCTTTGAAATTGAATTGCAAGGTACCATACGACAAAGGGAAGGCTGGGATTGAGTTTTGGGGTGATGAATCATAAGGGGGTTCAAAAAATTGGGGGGGGGGGGGTATTTTTTCCCCCCATTTTTTTCTTTAAAATTTTCCATTTCAAATTGGTTATTTCTGATTTATATATAAAAGCAAATAAGAATGATATGGTTTGAATAGGTAAATTAAAATTTTTAAGTTCTTAGACCACATTCATTCTGTGTCAGAAACCTATGCTGTGTCAAATATTTAATCACAATCCAAATTCAGTGCTGTATCAAGCTTAAATGTTGTGTCCATACTTGCCCCAACTGTTCAGGGTTCGACCTCTGCGGTTGTATCAAGCTGCGCCCAGCGGAGCATTTTATTAATCTATAATATGAAATTAAACAGACCTAGAAAAATCCAATAGCACGAGTTCGATTTATCTATTTATATCTTTATTTATGTTTGCATCGCTTATATGGTCATCGGATGACTTTGGAGGTCAACTCGATAGTTAGTTAGATAGCGACTAGACTAAAATACACACAGAACGAAGCTACGTGTTATCATGCCCATGTCCTGTTAACTGTTTATTTTAGACTTTTAATAGTTTGGATAAATGTTTTACATTGTTATAAATCAAATATGAGAATTTGAGTCAAATCAGGGAACATGAATTTGACAGCTAGTGCCCCTTTAAGGGAATTATAGGAACTTTTTTGCACAATCAGACACACAAAAAGTAAGAATTTTTATATATGCAAAAATGTCTTAGCCGATATTGAAGATTTCATGGCAAAATTTGGTCTCAAAGTTGAGAGAGAAATTCTCTCTCAAAGTCTGACCAAAAAAGATGGCTTCAGCGTTATGACGTCGTAGGAAGGCATCACAGCAAAAAAATGAAATAGCCTTTCAAGACGTCATAATTATTTGGACTAGGGATACCCATATTAACAACATCACTCCTAAAGCAAATAAGATCTTTTGCTTTTTAAAAAGAAACTTAAAGGTAAATCAGGAAGAAGCAAAAAGTTTGGCTTACAATTCTAGTGTACTATCAAACCTAGAATAAATTATTAATGTTCTTTAGTTTGGTCTTCTAACACCCAAAAACAAAAAAGGTTGAAAAAGTACAAAGATATAGGCAGCACGCTATGTCACTTCCATGATCGACCATCTTAAATGGAAGTCGCTTAAAACTCGCAGAAACATCAATCGAGTAACAATGATGTACAAAATAACACAAGCTTATAGCAGTAGATCCAAACCTTTACCTTTCACCACAGCCAGTTAAAAACACCAGATTCACCAATTCACTACAATATCAAACATTCAGTACCAGAACAGATTACTTCAAGTACAGCTTTTTCCCATTCGCAGTTGTACTGTGGAATTTACTTCAACAAAACATCATCAGCGTTAATTTTTGGATGAGTTTGAAATACTGATCCAAAGTCAGTACATTTAGAAATCTACCCAGTTTGTAAAATGTAGATAAAAGTTGTTGACATTTTATAGATAAGTTATAAATCTATATTAGTTTGTGACAAATGAAAGAAAAAATATTTGGAACTATTAATAATATTTGATTATAATTTGAAAATAGATATACACTGTATTACATCATATCTAATTTTAGAGAACTATTAATCATATCAAATGTTTTTTTCATCATGCTTATACGATATTGATTGATAATTGGTATATAGTTTTATCATGACAAGTTACAGATCAAGTTCAAATTTTTGTTTCGGTCTAATAATTTTGTGCAGAGTTATGGTCTTTGGACTTGAAAAATTCACTCATATAATCAGTTTTCCACACTGTTTTTAGTCATGCTTGAAGATATTGACATGATATTTACTTTTTGTTTACACCATGGCAAGTTATATAACAAGTTAGCATTTTGTTCCAGTATAATGAATTTTTATACGACCGCAAAAAAATTTTTGTGGTCGTATATTGGTATGACGTTGGCGTCGTCGTCGTCGTCCGGCGTCGTCCAAAGACACATTGGTTTTCGCACTCTAACTTTAGTTTAAGTGAATGGATCTCTATGAAATTTTACCACAAGGTTCAATACCACAAAAGAAAGGTTGGGATTGATTTTGGGGGTTATGGTACCAACAGTAAAGGAATTAGGGGCGAAAAAGGGGCATTTTTGTAACTTCCAGACATAACTTGTGTGTTAGTGTATGGATCTCTGTGACATTGTACCACAAGGTTCCATATCACTAAAGGAATGCTGGGATTGATTTTGGGGGTTATTGCCTCAAAATTTTAGGAATTAGGGGCCAAAAAAGGGGCAAAAAACAAGCATTTTTCTAGTTTCATGACAATAACTTGTGTGTAAGTGTATGGATCTTTCTGAAATTGTACTACAAGGTTCCATATCACAAAGGGAAAGCTGGAATTGAGTTTGGGGGTAATTGCCGAAACGTTTAGGAATTGGGGGCCAAAAAGGGGCCAAAAATAAGCATTTTTCTAGTTTCCAGACAATAACTTGTGTTCAAGTGTATGGATCTCTCTGAAATTGTACTGCAAGGTACCATACCACAAAGGGAAGGCTGGGATTGATGATGGGGGTAATTGCCTCAATATTTTAGGAATTAGGGGCCAGAAAGGGGCAAAAAACAAGCATTTTTCTAGTTTCAGGACAATAACTTGTGTGTAAGTGTATGGATCTTTCTGAAATTGTACTACAAGGTTCCATATCACAAAGGGAAAGCTGGGTTTGAGTTTGGGGGTAATTGCCCTAAACGTTTAGGAATTTGGGGCCAAAAAGGGGCCAAAAAACACATTTTTATACGACCGCAAAAAAATTTTTGTGGTCGTATATTGCTATGACGTTGGCGTCGTCCGAAGACACTTGGTTTTCGCACTCTAACTTTAGTTTAAGTGAATGGATCTTTATGAAATTTTACCGCAAGGTTCAATACCACAAAAGGAAGGTTGGGATTGATTTTGGGGGTTATGGTAATAACAGTAAAGGAATTAGGGGCCAAAAAGGGGCCAAAAATTCTCTGACATTGTACCACAAGGTTCCATATCACTAAAGGAATGCTGGGATTGATTTTGGGGGTAATTGCCTCCAAATTTTAGGAATTAGGGGCCAAAAAAGGGGCAAAAAACAAGCATTTTTCTAGTTTCATGACAATAACTTGTGTGTAAGTGTATGGATCTTTCTGAAATTGTACTACAAGGTTCCATATCACAAAGGGAAAGCTGGGTTTGAGTTTGGGGGTAATTGCCCTAAACGTTTAGGAATTTGGGGCCAAAAAGGGGCCAAAAAACACATTTTTTTCTAGTTTCCAGACAATAACTTGTGTTCAAGTGTATGGATCTCTCTGAAATTGTACTGCAAGGTACCATACCACAAAGGGAAGGCTGGGATTGAGTTTGGGGGTGATGAATCATAATGGGGGTTCAAAAAATTTTGGGGGGGGATTTATTTTTTTTTCCTTTTTTTCTTTTTTTCCTTTTTTGTTTCTTTTAAAATTTTCCATTTTAAGTTGGTTATTTCTGATTTATATTTAAAATCAAATAATAATGATATGGTAGGAGATACACACCAAACAGGATGTGTAAATTATTATATAATAAGTATTGTGCAATAGCAAGAAATTTTCAATTGCACAGTATTGCACAATAGCAAGAAATCTTCAATTGCACAGTATTGCGCAATAGCAAGAAATCTTCAATTGCACAGTATTGCGCAATAGCAAGAAATATTCAATTGCACAGTATTGCGCAATAGCAAGAAATATCCAATAGCACAATATTGCGCAATAGCAAGAAATTGTCAATTGTACAGTATTGCGCAATAGCAAGAAATATTTAATAGCACAGGATTGTGCAAAAGAAGATACTTCCTATAAGTTGCTTATTTCTTGACCAATTTCAATGGGGTTTTATTCTTGATTTCATGGGGTTCTTTAATATGCTGAATCTAACCGTGTATTTAGTTTTTGGATTTTGGGCCCCGTTTTTAAATTGGTCCACATTGAGGTCCAAAGGGTCCAAAATTAAACTTTGTTTGATTTCATCAAAAATTGAATTATTGGGGTTCTTTGATATGCCGAATCTAACTGTGTATTTAGATTCTTAAATTTTGGTTCCGTTTTCAAATTGGTCTACATTAAGGTCCAAAGGGTCCAAAATTAAACTTAGTTTGATTTTAACAAAAATTGAATTCTTAGGGTTCTTTGATATGCTGAATCTAAACATGTATTTAGATTTTTGATTATGGGCCCAGTTTTCAAGTTGGTCCAAATCGGGGTCCAAAATTAAACTTTGTTTGATTTCAACAAAAATTGAATATATGGGGTTCTTTGATATGCTGAATCTAACCATGTATTTAGATTTTTGATTTTTGGGCCCCGTTATCAACTTTGTCCACATTGAGGTCAAAAGGGTCCAAAATTAAACTTTGTTTGATTTCATCAAAAATTGAATTATTGGGGTTCTTTGATATGCCGAATCTAACCGTGTATTTAGATTCTTAATTTTTGGTTCCGTTTTCAAATTGGTCTACATTAAGGTCCAAAGGGTCCAAAATTTAACTTAGTTTGATTTTAACAAAAATTGAATTCTTAGGGTTCTTTGATATGCTGAATCTAAACATGTATTTAGATTTTTGATTATGGGCCCAGTTTTCAAGTTGGTCCAAATCGGGGTCCAAAATTAAACTTTGTTTGATTTCAACAAAAATTGAATATATGGGGTTCTTTGATATGCTGAATCTAACCATATATTTAGATTTTTGATTTGTGGGCCCCGTTATCAACTTTGTCCACATTGAGGTCAAAAGGGTCCAAAATTAAACTTTGTTTGATTTCATCAAAAATTGAATTCTTGGGGTTCTTTGATATGCTGAATCTAACCATGTATTTAGATTTTGGATATTGGACCATAATAGGTGAATGTCCAATTTAAAATTTTTAAGTTCTTAGACCACATTCAATCTGTGTTAGAAACCTATGCTGTGTCAAATATTTAATCACAATCCAAATCCAAAGCTGTATCAAGCTTGAATGTTGTGTCCATACTTCCCCCAACTGTTCAGGGTTCGACCTCTGCGGTCGTATCAAGCTGCGCCCTGCGGAGCATTTTATTCTAGTTTCCAGACAATAACTTGTGTTCAAGTTTATGGATCTCTCTGAAATTGTACTGCAAGGTACCATACCACAAAGGGAAGGCTGGGATTGAGTTTGGGGGTGATGAATCATAAGGGGGTTCCAAAAATTTGGGGGGGGGGGGGGGGTTTCCTTTTTTTTTTTTTTTTTCCTTTTTTTTTTCTTTAAAATTTTCCATTTTAAGTTGGTTATTTCTGATTTATATTTAAAAGCAAATAATAATGATATGGTAGGAGATACACACCAAACAGGATGTGTAAATTATTATATAATAAGTATTGTGCAATAGCAAGAAATTTTCAATTGTACAGTATTGCACAATAGCAAGAAATCTTCAATTGCACAGTATTGTGCAATAGCAAGAAATCTTCAATTGCACAGTATTGTGCAATAGCAAGAAATATCCAATAGCACAATATAGCGCAATAGCAAGAAATTGTCAATTGTACAGTATTGCGCAATAGCAAGAAGTATTTAATTGCACAGTATTGTGCAAAAGAAGATACTTCGTATAAATTGCTTCTTTCTTGACCAATTTCAATGGGGTTTTATTCTTGAATTCTTGGGGTTCTTTAATATGCTGAATCTAACTGTGTATTTAGTTTTTGAATTTTGGGCCCCGTTTTTAAATTGGTCCACATTGAGGTCAAAAGGGTCCAAAATTAAACTTTGTTTGATTTCATCAAAAATTGAATTATTGGAGTTCTTTGATATGCCGAATCTAACTGTGAATTTAGATTCTTAATTTTTGGTTCCGTTTTCAAATTGGTCTACATTAAGGTCCAAAGGGTCCAAAATTAAACTTAGTTTGATTTTAACAAAAATTGAATTCTTAGGATTCTTTGATATGCAGAATCTAAACATGTATTTAGATTTTTGATTATGGGCCCAGTTTTCAAGTTGGTCCAAATCGGGGTCCAAAATTAAACTTTGTTTGATTTCAACAAAAATTGAATATATGGGGTTCTTTGATATGCTAAATCTAACCATGTACTTAGATTTTTGATTTTTGGGCCCCGTTATCAACTTTGTCCACATTGAGGTCAAAAGGGTCCAAAATTAAACTTTGTTTGATTTCATCAAAAATTGAATTCTTGTGGTTCTTTGATATGCTGAATCTAACTATGTATTTAGATTTTGGATATTGGACCATAATAGGTGAATGTCCAATTTAAAATTTTTAAGTTCTTAGACCACATTCATTCTGTGTCAGAAACCTATGCTGTGTCAAATATTTAATCACAATCCAAATACAAAGCTGTATCAAGCTTGAATGTTGTGTCCATACTTGCCTCAACTGTTCAGGGTTCGACCTCTGCGGTCATATCAAGCTGTGCCCTGCGGAGCATTTTATTACCTGGTAGGGGACTATGTATTGCCATGCAATACTCTCAGAATGCTTGTTGATAGTAAAATTAATGAAGATGCTAACAAAAAAGCTTTGTAATTGATAGTAAATTGACAAAGACATGGATAAAAAAAGTTTTTATACGCCCGTTTACGGGACGTTTTATGGTATACGGTGTCCGTCTGTCCGTCCGTCGTCGACATGTCGGACATTAACTCAAAAATGCTTTAACTAATTTGGATAAAACTTTGGTGAATTGTTTATATCTATTGACGTGAGCTCCCTTTTGTTTTTTATAAAATTTAGATTTTTCATTTCCGAGTTATGGGGTTTTTTTCATTAAAAAAAGGGGGATTTTCCAGTTTTTGGACAATAAGTCAAGAATGCTTTCACCAACTTGCAAGAAAGTGTGGTGAATTGGTTATATCTATTGACATGAGCTCCCTTTATAAATTTTAGATTTTACTTTTCCGAGTTACAGGGTTTTATTCATAAAAAAAGGGGGGATTTTCCAGTTTTAGGACAAAAACTCAAAAATGCTTTCAGCAATTCTTATGAAACTTTGGTGAATTGTTTGTATGTATTGATGTAAGGTCCCTTTAGAATTTTATAAATTTTACATTTCTGAGTTATGGGGTTTTATTCATTAAAAAAAGGGGTGATTTTCCAGTTTTCGGACAATAACTCAAAAATGCTGTCACCAATTTTCATGAAACTTTGGTGAATTTTTTATATTTATTGATGTAAGCTCCCTTTTTATTTTCATAAATTTCGAATATGACATTGAGAATTAATTGAACTTTATTTGTTTATAGTCTGACAACAGATTTACTAAGTATTGCACAACAGCAAGAAATCTTTAATTGAATATAAATTCAATTCATATAACCAATTTCAAGTTCTTAGACTACATTTATTCAGAAACCTATAATATGTCAAATATTTAATTACAATCAAAATTCAGACCTGAATCAAGCTTGAATATTGTGTCCATTTTTGCCCCAACTGTTCAGGGTTGGACCTCTACGGGCGTATCTAGCTGCGCTCAGCGAAGCAGTTTATTGACATTGATAGTACATACTGTATATACAAATGTATTAAACACTTTCTCCATAAAATAAAAATCAGTAAAATATAAATACAAAGATAAACAAAATAGAAACAACACTGTCAAAACCCTCTTGTGTTTGAATTGTACCTCAGGATCCACTTGCACCAGGAATGCCCAAAGTAAAAAATCCGGTGGCTGGATGCAATGCAGAATAATGTCTTAAATCTTGTGACCAAAAGAAACATAATAGCACGAAGACAAATAATGGGGCAACTTAAATAAAATTAAAAGATATATACAACTTCAGCACCTAGAATCTATATAAACCATCTTGTATTATTTAAGAAGTTTGAATGTTGTCTATTAAAACTTTTGAGTGACAGGATTTTGTTATTTCTTTGCTTGTATTTTGTAGAGATCAGAAAAGGGAAAGATCATTCAAAATGGTAAGCATCTGAAATAATTATTAAAAAAGTATTTTTGTTTAAATATGTGGTCACATTACTGTTGCTGATCTAATAAGTTAGTCACCCTCCCTTCAGTCATACGTGAATTAAGATTATGTACTTATGGAACAGAAATTTTTTCTAGACTACCCTGCAGAATGACGATTCTGAAAGTGCTTGAAACTTTAATAGAGCAGGGATACAGGCGCGCCTTCTATCTGGTAAAAGGCGTGCAAAATTGACGATCTTTTCCGGTGAAAGACATGATTCGTGAAATAGCCTTTTACGCCACCAAATTTGGTCGTCTATTGGTATGACGTCGTCGTTGTCCGAAGACACATTTGTTTTTGCACTCTAACTTTAGTTTAAGTGAATGGATCTCTATGAAATTTTACCATAAGGTTCAATACCACAAAAGGAAGGTTGGGATTGATTTTGGGGGTTATGGTACCAACAGTTAAGGAATTAGGGGCCAAAGATAAGCATTTTTCTAGTTTCCAGACAATTACTTGTGGAACGGTGTATGGATCTCTCTGAAATTATACCACAAGTTTCCATACCACAAAGGGATGGTTAGGATTTGCTTTGGGGGGGTTATGGCTCAAACCATTTAGGAATTAGGGGGAAAAACAAGGGTGTCCTGGTTAATAGACAAATACTTTAGTACAAAACATAATTTAAAGTAGTGTAAGGGAGGTAATTCAAATACATCATTTTTGATTACCTCCGTTACACTGCTTTTAAATTATGTTTAAAGAAATGCATATTTATACAGGAAGACCAGTAAAAATATATGCAAATGTTGCATCCTTTTTTTTTACAAAAAAATCCATATGTAAGATTCTACACCATATTTTAAATTCTAGATTAAGTTATGGTAAATTTAAATGAGTAATTATGGTTGCAAACTCCATTGGAAATTTGAATTGAGATTATGACCATATCTTGAGGTAAAGAATTTTTTTTGGGGGGAAAAGGGGGGGGGGGGGTAAAAAGAAATTGTGGGGTGTCAATTTTTTCTCATTTCAGATTTCAGAAATAAAAAGAAAAATTCTTCAAATATTATTAATTTTGCAAAAAAAAGTGTGTGTGTGGGGAAGGGGGGGGGGGGGGGGGGGGTAAATAGGCAACAGCATAGTGTATTGCACAAAAGCAAAAAAAAAAGAGGGGAGGGGTAAATTTTAATTTTTTTTTGTGGGGGGAAGGGGGGGGTCAATTCGCAACAGCAAAGTGTATTGCACAAAAGCAAAAAATTGAATATAAATTCAAATCATATAACTAATTCTTAGTTCTTTGACTACAGTTATTCTGTGTCAGAAACCTTTTATGTGTCAAATATTTAATTACAATCCAAATTCAGACCTGTATCAAGCGCGAATATTGCATCCATTTTTGCCCCAACTGTTCAGGGTTGGACCTCTGCGGTCGTATCCAGCTGCGATTGGCGAAGCAATTTATTTCAACTTTTATTATTCCTCAAAAATTAAAGCAGATAGAGAATATCTGACAAGACTGCAATGATCAACAGCTGGGTAAGGTCTATCTCTGTCACATTTTCTGAAAAAATTAGACAACCAGAGTTATTGTCCCCGACAACAAAAACTTCATCAAGACCAAGAATTAGCATCCTTAGAAAAAATTTTGTTTGTGGTTTTTTATGTTCCCGTCGTAGCAGAGGGGGCATTAAGTTTTACCCTTGTCTACGTCCCAAAATTGGTTTTCCATTCTCTAACTTTAGTTTGTCACAACCAAATGTTATGAAACTTATACACAATGCTTATTGCCACAAAACACAGATCAAGTATGAATTTTGGTGGCATCACTTTTACCGTTCTAGAGTTATGCCCCTTTACAAAAGGAAAAATTCAGCTTTCATTTCCATTCACTAACGAGTTTGCCTCAACGAAATGTTATGAATCTAATACACAATGCTTATTACTACAAAACACAGATCAAGTTTGAATTTGGGTGCCATCATTTTTACCTTTCTAGAGTTGTGCCCCTTTACAAATGGAAAAAAATTGCTGAATTTTTCGTTTCTGTTCTCTAACATTAGTTTGCCTCAACCAAATGTTATGAAACTTATACACAATGCTAATTACCACAAAACTCGGATCAAATAGCAATTTCGGTAGCGTCACTTTTATCTTTCTTGAGTTTTGTTCCATGGACACATGAATTCCTCTTTTATTTTTATACAACCGCAAAAATTAAAAAAATTTTGGCCGTATATTGGTATCACGTCGTCATCAGCATCGTCCGAAGACAGATGGTTTCCGGATAATAACTTTAGTATAAGTAAATAGAAATCAATAAAATTTTAACACAAGGTTTATAACCACTAAAGATAGAATGGGATTGATTTTGGTGGTTATGGTCCCAACTGTTTAGGAATTAGGGGCCAAAAAAGGGGCCCAAATAAGCATTTTTGTAGTTTCCAGACAAAAACTTGTGTTAAAGTGTATGAATCTCTCTGAAATTATACAACAAGTTTCCATACTACAAAGGGATGGTTAGGATTGACTTTGGGGGGGGGGGCGGTTATGGCTCAACCCATTTAGGAATTAGGGGCAAAAAAAGGGGAAAAACAAAGGTTTTTCTGGTTAAAGGCCAGACTATTTAAAAGCAGTGTAAGGGAGGTAATCCAAATCAATTTAAAGAACACTGTTTGATTACCTTGTAAATTATGTATTAAGAAATGATGATTGTCTTGAGGTGATTAGCTGTCAATTTATTTTTAGCAATTACTATTAATTAATATTAATTTTAGCCATGACTAAGAATGTCATTTTATATTTTAAAACTTTTATAATGTATTTAAAAGGGTAGTTATGGTTGCAAACTCCATTAGAAATTTGAATTGAGATACTGACCATATTTTGAGGGAAAGATTTTTTTAGGAATAAGGGAAAGGGGGAGGTGAACAAAATTGGAAGGGGGGGGGGACAATTTTTCTCGTTTCAGATTTCAGAAATTAAAAGAAAATTTCTTCAAATATTTTTTTTTGGGGGTTTAATATTCAACAGCATAGTGTATTGCACTAAAGCAAAAAAACAGGCGTATCAAGCGTGAATATTGTGTCCATTTTGGCCCCAACTTTTCAGGGTTGGACATATGAGGTCGTATCCAGCTGCGCTCAGCGAAGCAATTTATTTACATTTTACTGATACACTTACACTTTTACTTTGACAGCAGCAATAGCATGCAAGCCACAGGGTTCCTCAGTACCAGATACAAATTTTTAGTAGTGTTTGTACGATCTGTGCTGGGTCGTTTGCAATTAATTATATATATTCATTTGTTTTTATACGACTGCAAAAAATTTTGCGGTCCTATATTGGTATGACGTTGGGGTCGTCGTCGTCGTCCGAAGACACATTGGTTTTCGCACTCTAACTTTAGTTTAAGTGAATGGATCTCTATGAAATTTTACCTTAAGGTTCAATACCTCAAAAGGAAGGTTGGGATTGATTTTGGGGGTTATGGTACCAACAGTTAAGGAATTAGGGGCCAAAAATAAGCATTTTTGTAACTTCCAGACATTACTTGTGTGTTAGTGTATGGATCTCTCTGACATTGTACCACAAGGTTCCATATCACACAGGGAATGCTGGGATTGATTTTAGGGGTAATTGCCTCAAAATATTAGGAATTAGGGGCCAAAAAAGGGGCAAAAAACAAGCATTTTTCTAGTTTCATGACAATAACTTGTGTGTATGTGTATGGATCTTTCTAAAATTGTACTACAAGGTTCTATATCACAAAGGGAAAGCTGGAATTGAGTTTGCGGGTAATTGCCCGAAACGTTTAGGATTTGGGTGCCAAAAAGGGGCAAAAAAAAATAAGCAGTTTTTGGTATGACGTTGGCATCGTCGTCATCGTCCGAAGACACATTGGTTTTCGCACTCTAACTTTAGTTTAAGTGAATGGATCTCTTTGAAATTTTACCATAAGGTTCAATACCACAAAAGGAAGGTGGGGAAAAAAAGGGGGGGGGAGTAAAAAAAACTGTGGGGGGTCAATTTTTTCTCATTTCAGATTTCAGAAATTAAAAAGAATTATTCTTCAAATATTATTTTTTTTTCCAAATTTCAAATATTGAAAAATTTCAAGAAGTAATCTTTAATTGCACAGTATGGCGCATTAGATTTGTAAAATCTTTGACCACATTTATTTATTTGTTATGCCGAATCTAACCGTGTATTTAGATTTTTAATTTTGGGTCCAGTTTTCAAATTGGTCTACATTAAGGTCCAAAGGGTCCAAAATTAAACTTTGTTTGATTTTACAAAAATTGAATATATGGGGTTCTTTGATATGCTGAATCTAAACATGTATTTAGATTTTTGATTTTTGGCCCAGTTTTCAAGTTGGTCCAAATTGGGGTCCAAAATTAAACTTTGTTTGATTTCAACAAAAATTGAATAAATGGGGTTCTTTGATATGCTGAATCTAACCATGTATTTAGATTTTTTTTTGGTGGGCCCCGCTATCAAGTTGGTTCATATTGAGGTCAAAAGGGTCCAAAATTAAACTTTGTTTGATTTCATCAAAAATTGAATTATTGGGGTTCTTTGATATGCCAAATCTAACCGTGTATTTAGATTTTTAATTTTGGGTCCTGTTTTTTAGATTGGTCTACATTAAGGTCCAAAGGGTCCAAAATTAAACTTAGTTTGATTTTAACAAAAATTGAATTCTTCGGGTTCTTTGATATGCTGAATCTAAACATGTATTTAGATTTTTGATTATGGGCCCAGTTTTCAAGTTGGTCCAAATCGGGGTCCAAAATTAAACTTTGTTTGATTTCAACAAAAATTGAATATATGGGGTTCTTTGATATGCTGAATCTAACCATGTACTTAGATTTTTGATTTTTGGGCCCCGTTATCAACTTTGTCCACATTGAGGTAAAAAGGGTCCAAAATTAAACTTTGTTTGATTTCATCAAAAATTGAATTCTTGGGGTTCTTTGATATGCTGAATCTAACCATGTATTTAGATTTTGGATATTGGACCATAATAGGTGAATGTCCAATTTAAAATTTTTAAGTTCTTAGACCACATTCATTCTGTGTCAGAAACCTATGCTGTGTCAAATATTTAATCACAATCCAAATGCAAAGCTGTATCAAGCTTGAATGTTGTGTCCATACTTGCCCCAACTGTTCAGGGTTCGACCTCTGCGGTCGTATTTAGCTGCGCCCTGCGGAGCATTTTATTAATTTTGGGTCCCGTTTTTTAAATTGGTTTACATTAAGGTCCAAAGGGTCCAAAATTAAACTTAGTTTGATTTTACCAAAAATTGGATTCTTGGGGTTCGTTGATATGCTGAATCTAAACATGTGTTTAGATTTTTGATTATGGGCCCAGTTTTCAAGTTGGTCCAAGTTGGGGTCCAACATTAAACTTTTTTTTATTTCAACAAAAATTGAATAAATGGGGTTCTTTGATATGCTAAATCTAACCATGTATTTAGATTTTTATTTGTGGGCCCCGCTATCAAATTGGTTCGTATTGAGGTCAAAAGGGTCCAAAATTAAACTTTGTTTGATTTCATCAAAAATTGAATTATTGGGGTTCTTTGATATTCCTAATCTAACCATGTATTGAGATTTTTAATTTTGGGTCCCGTTTTTTAAATTGGTCTACATTAAGGTCAAAAGGGTCCAAAATTAAACTTAGTTTGATTTTAACAAAAATTGAATTCTTGGGGTTCTTTGATATGCTGAATCTAAACATGTGTTTAGATTTTTGATTATGGGCCCAGTTTTCAAGTTTGTCCAAGTTGGGGTCCAAAATTAAACTTTGTTTGATTTCAATAAAAATTGAATATATGGGGTTCTTTGATATGCTGAATCTAACCATGTATTTTGATTTTGGACATTGGACCATAATAGGTAAATTAAAAAAAATCAAGTTCTTAGACCACATTCTTTCTGTGTCAGAAACCTATGCTGTGTCAAATATTTAATCACAATCCAAATTCAGAGCTGTATCAAGCTTGAATGTTGTGTCCATACTTGCCCCAACTGTTCAGGGTTCGACCTCTGCGGTTGTATCAAGCTGCGCCCAGCGAAGAATTTTATTCTAGTTTCCAGTCAATAACTTGTGTTCAAGTGTATGTCTCTCTGAAATTGTACTGCAAGGTACCATACCACAAAGGGAAGGCTGGGATTGATGATGGGGGTAATTGCCTCAATATTTTAGGAATTAGGGGCAAAAAACAAGCATTTTTGTAGTTTCAGGACAATAACTTGTGTGTAAGTGTATGGATCTTTATGAAATTGTACTACAAGGTTCCATATCATAAAGGGAAAGCTGGGTTTGAGTTTAGGGGTAATTGCCCTAAACGTTTAGGAATTTGGGGCCAAAAAGGGGCCAAAAATAAGCATTTTTCTAGTTTCCAGACAATAACTTGTGTTCAAGTGTATGGATCTCTCTGAAATTGTACTGCAAGGTACCATACCACATAGGGAAGGCTGGGATTGAGTTTGGGGGTGATGAATCATAAGGGTGTTCAAAAAATTTGTTGGGGGGGGATTTTTTTTTTTTCCTTTTTTCTTTCTTGTAAAATTTTCCTTTAAGTTGGTTATTTCTGATTTATATTTAAAAGCAAATAATAATGATATGGTAGGAGATACACACCAAACAGGATGTGTAAATTATTATATAATAAGTATTGTGCAATAGCAAGAAATTTTCAATTGCACAGTATTGTACAATAGCAAGAAATCTTCAATTGCACAGTATTGCGCAATAGCAAGTAATCTTCAATTGCACAGTATTGCGCAATAGCAAGAAATATCCAATAGCACAATATTGCGCAATAGCAAGAAATTGTCAATTGTACAGTATTGCGCAATAGCCAGAAATATTCAATTGCACAGTATTGTGCAAAAGAAGATACTTCCTATAAATTGCTTATTTCTTGACCAATTTCAATGGGGTTTTATTCTTGAACTCTTGGGGTTCTTTAATATGCTGAATCTAACCGTGTAGTAAGTTTTTGGATTTTGGGCCCCGTTTTTAAATTGGTCCACATTGAGGTCCAAAGGGTCCAAAATTAAACTTTGTTTGATTTCATCAAAAATTGAATTATTGGGGTTCTTTGATATGCCGAATCTAACCGTGTATTTAGATTCTTAATTTTTGGTTCCGTTTTCAAATTGGTCTACATTAAGGTCCAAAGGGTCCAAAATTAAACTTAGTTTGATTTTAACAAAAATTGAATTCTTAGGGTTCTTTGATATGCCGAATCTAAACATGTATTTAGATTTTTGATTATGGGCCCAGTTTTCAAATTGGTCCAAATCAGGGTCCAAAATTAAACTTTGTTTGATTTCAACTAAAATTGAATATATGGGGTTCTTTGATATGCTGAATCTAAACATGTATTTTGATTTTGGACATTGGACCATAATAGGTATATTAAAAAAATTCAAGTTCTTAGACCACATTCTTTCTGTGTCAGAAACCTATGCTGTGTCAAATATTTAATCACAATCCAAATTCAGAGCTGTATCAAGCTTGAATGTTGTGTCCATACTTGCCCCAACTGTTCAGGGTTCGACCTCTGCGGTCGTATCAAGCTGCGCCCAGCGAAGCATTTTATTCTAGTTTCCAGACAATAACTTGTGTTCAAGTGTATGTCTCTCTGAAATTGTACTGCAAGGTACCATACCACAAAGGGAAGGCTGGGATTGATGATGGGGGTAATTGCCTCAATATTTTAGGAATTAGGGGCAAAAAACAAGCATTTTTGTAGTTTCAGGACAATAACTTGTGTGTAAGTGTATGGATCTTTATGAAATTGTACTATAAGGTTCCATATCACAAAGGGAAAGCTGGGTTTGAGTTTGGGGGTAATTGCCCTAAACGTTTAGGAATTTGGGGCCAAAAAGGGGCCAAAAATAAGCATTTTTCTAGTTTCCAGACAATAACTTGTGTTCAAGTGTATGGATCTCTCTGAAATTGTACTGCAAGGTACCATACCACAAAGGGAAGGCTGGGATTGAGTTTGGGGGTGATGAATCATAAGGGTGTTCAAAAAATTTGTTGGGGGGGATTTTTTTTTTTTTCCTTTTTTCTTTCTTGTAAAATTTTCCATTTTAAGTTGGTTATTTCTGATTTATATTTAAAAGCAAATAATAATGATATGGTAGGAGATACACACCAAACAGGATGTGTAAATTATTATATAATAAGTATTGTGCAATAGCAAGAAATTTTCAATTGCACAGTATTGTACAATAGCAAGAAATCTTCAATTGCACAGTATTGCGCAATAGCAAGTAATCTTCAATTGCACAGTATTGCGCAATAGCAAGAAATATCCAATAGCACAATATTGCGCAATAGCAAGAAATTGTCAATTGTACAGTATTGCACAATAGCCAGAAATATTCAATTGCACAGTATTGTGCAAAAGAAGATACTTCCTATAAATTGCTTATTTCTTGACCAATTTCAATGGGGTTTTATTCTTGAATTCTTGGGGTTCTTTAATATGCTGAATCTAACCGTGTAGTAAGTTTTTGGATTTTGGGCCCCGTTTTTAAATTGGTCCACATTGAGGTCCAAAAGGTCCAAAATTAAACTTTGTTTGATTTCATCAAAAATTGAATTATTGGGGTTCTTTGATATGCCGAATCTAACCGTGTATTTAGATTCTTAATTTTTGGTTCCGTTTTCAAATTGGTCTACATTAAGGTCCAAAGGGTCCAAAATTAAACTTAGTTTGATTTTAACAAAAATTGAATTCTTAGGGTTCTTTGATATGCCGAATCTAAACATGTATTTAGATTTTTGATTATGGGCCCAGTTTTCAAATTGGTCCAAATCGGGGTCCAAAATTAAACTTTGTTTGATTTCAACTAAAATTGAATATATGGGGTTCTTTGATATGCTGAATCTAAACATGTATTTAGATTTTTGATTTTTGGGCCCCGTTATCAACTTTGTCCACATTGAGGTCAAAAGGGTCCAAAATTAAACTTTGTTTGATTTCATCAAAAATTGAATTCTTGGGGTTCTTTGATATGCTGAATCTAACCATGTATTTAGATTTTGGATATTGGACCATAATAGGTGAATGTCCAATTGAAAATTTTTAAGTTCTTAGACCAAATTTATTCTGTGACAGAAACCTATGCTGTGTCAAATATTTAATCACAATCCAAATTCAGAGCTGTATCAAGCTTGAATGTTGTGTCCATACTTGCCCCAACTGTTCAGGGTTTGACCTCTGCAGTCGTATCAAGCTGCGCCCTGCGGAGCATTTTATTGTTTTTGTTGCAAGCTTTTAAAATTTCCAAATTGAATAGTCACAGTTAATATACATCAACATACATTGTATTTCATGTGCTTGCTCAATCAAATGAAGACTTTTATCAAAACAAGAAAATTACTAAAAATACATATGATATATATTATTATACGACCGCCAAAAAATTTTGTGGTCGTATATTGGTATGACGTTGGGGTTGTCGTCGTCCTAAGACACATTGGTTTTCGCACTCTAATTTTAGTTTGAGTGAATGGATCTCTATGAAATTTTACCATAAGGTTCAATACCACAAAAGGAAGGTTGGGATTGATTTTGGGGGTTATGGTACCAACAGTTAAGGAATTAGTGGCCAAAAATAAGCATTTTTATACGACTTTTTGCGGTCGTATATTGGTATGACGTTGGCGTCGTCGTTCAAAGACAGATTGGTTTTCGCACTCTAACTTTAGTTTAAGTGAATGGATCTCTTTGAAATTTTACCATAAGGTTCAATACCACAAAAGGAAGGTGGGGATTGATTTTGGGGGTTATGGTACCAACAGTTAAGGAATTAGGGGCCAAAAAGGGGCCAAAAATAAGCATTTTTGTAACTTCCAGCCATAACTTGTGTGTTAGTGTATGGATCTCTCTGACATTGTACCACAAGGTTCCATATCACAAAGGGAATGCTGGGATAGATTTTGGGGGTAATTGCCTTCAATTTTTATACGACCGCAAAAATTGAAAATTTTTTGGTCGTATATTGGTATGACGTTGGCGTCGTCGTCGTCGTCCGGCGTCGTCCGAAGACACATTGGTTTTCGCACTCTAACTTTAGTTTAAGTGAATGGATCTCCATGAAATTTTACCATAAGGTTCAATACCACGAAAGGAAGGTGGGGATTGATTTTGGGGGTTATGGTACCAACAGTTAAGGAATTAGGGGCCAAAAATAAGCATTTTTGTAACTTCCAGACAATAACTTGTGTGTAAGTGTATGGATCTCTCTGACATTGTAACACAAGGTTCCATATCACAAAGGGAAGGCTGTAATTGATTTTGGGGGTAATTGCCTCAAAATTTTAGGAATTAGGGGCCAAAAAAGGGGCAAAAAACAAGCATTTTTCTAGTTTTATGACAATAACTTGTGTGTAAGTGTTTGGATATTTCTGAAATTGTACTACAAGGTTTCATATCACAAAGGGAAAGCTGGAATTGAGTTTGGGGGTAATTGCCCGAAACGTTTAGGAATTGGGGGCCAAAAAGGGGCCAAAAATAAGCATTTTTCTAGTTTCCAGACAATAACTTGTATTCAAGTGTATGGATCTCTCTGAAATTGTACTGCAAGGTACCATACCACAAAGGGAAGGCTGGGATTGAGTTTGGGGGTGATGAATCATAAGGGGGTTCAAAAAAAGGGGGGGGGGTTTCTTTTTTTTTCTTTTTTTCCTTTTTTTTTTCTTTTAAAATTTTCCATTTTAAGTTGGTTATTTCTGATTAATATTATAAAAGCAAATAATAATGATATGGTAGGAGATACACACCAAACAGGATGTGTAAATTATTATATAATAAGTATTGTGCAATAGCAAGAAATTTTCAATTGCACAGTATTGCACAATTGCAAGAAATCTTCAATTGCACAGTATTGCGCAATAGCAAGAAATCTTCAATTGCACAGTATTGCGCAATAGCAAGAAATATCCAATAGCACAATATTACGCAATAGCAAGAAATTGTCAATTGTACAGTATTGCACAATAGCAAGAAATATTCAATTGCACAGTATTGTGCAAAAGAAGATTCTTCGTATAAATTGCTTATTTCTTGATCAATTTCAATGGGGTTTTATTCTTGAATTCTTGGGGTTCTTTAATATGCTGAATCTAATCGTGTATTTAGTTTTTGGATTTTGGGCCCCGTTTTTAAATTGGTCCACATTGAGGTCCAAAGGGTCCAAAATTTAACTTTGTTTGATTTCATCAAAAATTGAATTATTGGGGTTCTTTGATATGCCGAATCTAACCGTGTATTTAGATTCTTAATTTTTGGTTCCGTTTTCAAATTGGTCTACATTAAGGTCAAAAGGGTCCAAAATTAAACTTAGTTTGATTTTAACAAAAATTGAATTTTTAGGGTACTTTGATATGCTGAATCTAAACATGTATTTAGATTTTTGATTATGGGCCCAGTTTTCAAGTTGGTCCAAATCGGGGTCCAAAATTAAACTTTGTTTGATTTCAACAAAAATTGAATATATGGGGTTCTTTGATATACTGAATCTAACCATGTATTTTGATTTTGGACATTGGACCATAATAGGTAAATTAAAAAAATTGAAGTTCTTAGACCACATTCTTTCTGTGTCAGAAACCTATGCTGTGTCAAATATTTAATCACAATCCAAATTCAGAGCTGTATCAAGCTTGAATGTTGTGTCCATACTTGCCCCAACTGTTCAGGGTTCGACCTCTGGGGTCGTATCAAGCTGCGCCCAGCGAAGCATTTTATTAGGAATTAAGGGCAAAAAACAAGCATTTTTCTAGTTTCATGACAATAACTTGTGTGTTAGTGTATGGATCTCTCTGACATTGTACCACAAGGTTCCATATCACAAAAGGAAAGCAACAATTGAGTTTGGGGGTAATTGCCCGAAACGTTTAGGAATAAGGGGCCAAAAATAAGCATTTTTCTAGTTTCCAGACAATATCTTGTGTTCAAGTTCATGGATCTCTCTGAAATTGTACTGCAAGGTACCATACCACAAAGGAAAGTCTGGGATTGATTTTGGGGGTAATTGTCTCAAAATTTTAGGAATTAGGGGCCATAAAGGGGCAAACAAACAAGCATTTTTCTAGTTTCATGACAATAACTTGTGTGTAAGTGTATGGATCTTTATGAAATTGTACTGCAAGGTTCCATATCACAAAGGGAAAGCTGGGTTTGAGTTTGGGGGTAATTGCCCTAAACGTTTAGGAATTTCCAACCATCATGGCCAACTTGGTTAAAAATAGAACTTAGGGGGAAAATGCAGTTTTTATACGACCGCAAAAATTAAAAATTTTTTGGTCGTATATTAGTATGACGTTGGCATCGTCGTCGTCGTCGTCGTCCGAAGACACATTGGTTTTCGCACTCTAACTTTAGTTTAAGTGAATGGATCTCCATGAAATTTTACCATAAGGTTCAATACCACGAAAGGAAGGTTGGGATTGATTTTGGGGGTTATGGTACCAACAGTTAAGGAATTAGGGGCCAAAAAGGGGCCAAAAATAAGCATTTTATAACTTTCAGACAATAACTTGTGTGTAAGTGTATGGATCTCTCTGACATTGTACCACAAGGTTCCATATCACAAAGGGAAGGCTGTAATTGATTTTGGGGGTAATTGCCTCAAAATTTTAGGAATAAGGGGCCAAAAAAGGGGCAAAAAACAAGCATTTTTCTAGTTTCATGACAATAACTTGTGTGTAAGTGTTTGGATATTTCTGAAATTGTACCACAAGGTTTCATATCACAAAGGGAAAGCTGGAATTGAGTTCGGGGGTAATTGCCTGAAACGTTTAGGAATTGGGGGCCAAAAAGGGGCCAAAAATAAGCATTTTTCTAGTTTCAAGACAATAACTTGTGTTCAAGTGTATGGATCTCTCTGAAATTGTACTGCAAGGTACCATACCACAAAGGGAAGGCTGGGATTGAGTTTGGGGGTGATGAATCATAAGGGGGTTCAAAAAATTTGGGGGGGGGGATTTTTTTTTTTTCTTTTTTTTTCTTTTTTTTCTTTTTTTTTTCTTTTAAAATTTTCCATTTTAAGTTGGTTATTTCTGATTTATATTTAAAAGCAAATAATAATGATATGGTAGGAGATACACACCAAACAGGATGTGTAAATTTTTATATAATAAGTATTGTGCAATAGGAAGAAATTTTCAATTGCACAGTATTGCACAATAGCAAGAAATCTTCAATTGCACAGTATTGCGCAATAGCAAGAAATCTTCAATTGCACAGTATTGCGCAATAGCAAGAAATATCCAATAGCACAATATTGCGCAATAGCAAGAAATTGTCAATTGTACAGTATTGGGCAATAGCAAGAAATATTCAATTGCACAGTATTGTGCAAAAGAAGATATATACTTCTTATAAATTGCTTATTTCTTGATCAATTTCAATGGGGTTTTATTCTTGAATTCTTGGGGTTCTTTAATATGCTGAATATAACCGTGTATTAAGTTTTTGGATTTTGGGCCCCGTTTTTAAATTGGTCCACATTGAGGTCCAAAGGGTCCAAAATTTAACTTTGTTTGATTTCATCAAAAATTGAATTATTGGGGTTCTTTGATATGCCGAATCTAACCGTGTATTTAGATTCTTAATTTTTGGTTCCGTTTTCAAATTGGAGTACATTAAGGTCCAAAGGGTCCAAAATTAAACTTAGTTTGATTTTAACAAAAATTGAATGTTTAGTGTTCTTTGATATGCTGAATCTAAACATGTATTTAGATTTTTGATTATGGGCCCAGTTTTCAAGTTGGTCCAAATCGGGGTCCAAAATTAAACTTTGTTTGATTTCAACAAAAATTGAATATATGGGGTTCTTTGATATGCTGAATCTAACCATGTATTTAGATTTTTGGGCCCCGTTATCAACTTTGTCCACATTGAGGTCAAAAGGGTCCAAAATTAAACTTTGTTTGATTTCATCAAAAATTGAATTCTTGGGGTTCTTTGATATGCCGAATCTAACCGTGTATTTAGATTCTTAATTTTTGGTTCCGTTTTCAAATTGGAGTACATTAAGGTCCAAAGGGTCCAAAATTAAACTTAGTTTGATTTTAACAAAAATTGAATGTTTAGTGTTCTTTGATATGCTGAATCTAAACATGTATTTAGATTTTTGATTATGGGCCCAGTTTTCAAGTTGGTCCAAATTGGGGTCCAAAATTAAACTTTGTTTGTTTTCAACAAAAATTGAATATATGGGGTTCTTTGATATGCTGAATCTAACCATGTATTTAGATTTTTGGGCCCCGTTATCAACTTTGTCCACATTGAGGTCAAAAGGGTCCAAAATTAAACTTTGTTTGATTTCATCAAAAATTGAATTCTTGGGGTTCTTTGATATGCTGAATCTAACCATGTATTTAGATTTTGGATATTGGACCATAATATGTGAATGTGCAATTTAAAATTTTTAAGTTCTTAGACCACATTCATTCTGTGTCAGAAACCTATGCTGTGTCAAATATTTAATCACAATCCAAATTCAGAGCTGTATCAAGCATGAATGTTGTGTCCATACTTGCCCCAACTGTTCAGGGTTCGACCTCTGCGGTCGTATCAAGCTGCGCCCTGCGGAGCATTTTATTGGTTTATATTTCTGAAACTAAAGCATTTAGAGCAAATCTGACAGGTGGCAAAAATGTTCATCAGATTTAGATTTCAGACGAATCCGACAACCTGTTGTTGGGTCGCTGCCCCTTAGTTAGTAATTTTACAAAAATTTTGCAGTTTTTATACGACCGCAAAAAAATTTTTGTGGTCGTATATTGGTATGACGTTGGCGTCGTCGGCGTCATCGTCGTCGTCCGAAGACACATTAGTTTTCGCACTCTTAACTTAAGTTTAAGTTAATGGATCTCAATGAAATTTAACCATAAGGTTCAATACCACAAAAGGAAGGTTGGGATTGATTTTGGGGGTTATGGTACCAACAGTTAAGGAATTAAGGGCCAAAAAGGGGCCAAAAATAAGCATTTTTGTAACTTCCAGACATAACTTGTGTGTAAGTCTATGGATCTCTCTGACATTGTACCAAAAGTTTCCATATCACAAAGGGAATGCTGGGATTAATTTTGGGGGTAATTGCCTCAGAATTGTAGGAATTGGGGGCCAAAAACAAGCATTTTTCTAGTTTCATGACAATAACTTGTGTGTAAGTCTATGGATCTCTCTGAAATTGTATCACAAGGTTCCATATCATAAAGGGAATGCTGGGATTGATTTTGGGGGTAATTGCCTCAGAATTGTAGGAATTGGGGGCCAACAAGGGGCAAAAAACAAGCATTTTTCTAGTTTCATGACAATAACTTGTGTGTAAGTGTATGGATCTTTATGAAATTGTACTACAAGGTTCCATATCACACAGGGAAAGCTGGAATTGAGTTTCGGGGTAATTGCCCAAAAAGTTTAGGAATTAGGGGCCAAAAAGGGGCCCAAAATAAGCATTTTTCTAGTTTCCAGACAATAACTTGTGTTCAAGTGTATGGTTCTCTCTGAAATTGTACTGCAAGGTACCATACCACAAAGGGAAGGCTGGGATTGATTTTGGGGGTAATTCCCTCAAAATTTTAGTAATTAGGGGCCATAAAAGGGCAAAAAAACAAGCATTTTCTAGTTTCAGGACAATAACTTGTGTGTAAGTGTATGGATCTTTATGAAATTGTACTGCAAGGTTCCATATCACAAAGGGAAAGCTGGGTTTGAGTTTGGGGGTAATTGCCCTAAACGTGAAGGAATTTGGGGCCAAAAACAAGTATTTTTCTAGTTTCCAGACAATAACTTGTGTTCAAGTGTATGGATCTCTCTGAAATTGTGCTGCAAGGCACCATACCACAAAGGGAAGGCTGGGATTGAGTTTGGGGGTGATGAATCATAAGGGGGTTCAAAAAATTTGATGGGGAATTTTTTTTCCTTTTTTTTCTTTAAAATTTACCATTTTAAATTGGTTATTTCTGATTTATATATAAAAGCAAATAATAATGATATGGTTTGAATAGGTAAATTAAAATTTTTTAAGTTCTTAGACCACTTTCATTCTGTGTCAGAAACCTATGCTGTATCAAATATTTAATTACAATCCAAATTCAGTGCTGTATCAAGCTTGAATGTTGTGTCCATACTTGCCCCAACTGTTCAGGGTTCGACCTCTGCGGTCGTATCAAGCTTCGCCCTGCGGAGCATTTTACTTGTTATTATCTTAGATATCATTATAATATCTAATACTATTAATTATGATTTTAACCTTATTTTACATGATTTCCAAAGCATCAGTAAATACAGGTGAGCGACACAGGCTCTTAAGAATCTCTAGTTTCTTTAAAATTTTCCATTTTAAATTGGTTATTTCTGATTTATATATAAAAGCAAATAATAATGATATGGTTTGAATAGGGAAATTAAAAAATTTTAAGTTCTTAGACCACATTCATTCTGTGTCAGAAACCTATGCTGTGTCAAATATTTAATCACAATCCAAATTCAGAGCTGTATCAAGCTTGAATGTTGTGTCCATACTTGCCCCAACTGTTCAGGGTTCGATCTCTGCTGTCGTATCAAGCTGCGCCCTGCGGAGCATTTTATTCTAGTTTCATGACAATAACTTGTGTGTAAGTGTATGGATCTTTATGGAATTGTTCTACAAGGTTCCATATCACAAAGGGAAAGCTGGGTTTGAGTTTGGGGGTAATTGCCTTAAACGTTTAGGAATTTGGGGCCAAAAAGGGGCCAAAAAACAAGCATTTTTCTAGTTTCCAGACAATAACTTGTGTTCAAGTGTATGGATCTCTCTGAAATTGTACTGCAAGGTACCATACCACAAAGGGAAGGCTGCTATTGAGTTTTGGGGTGATGAATCATAAGGGGGTTCAAAAAATTGGGGGAGGGGGATTTTTTTTTCTTTAAAACTTTTCCATTTTAATTTGGGCCACATCTAAAAATATTTTGGTTTGCCCGAACCCTACACAAAAGTAGAGACAGTGGGTAGGTAGGTAGGCATTTTCTTTTCTTTTTTCGGCAAAGAGAAATTGAAGTGTCAGATTGTGTTTAGTCTTCATGCCTATCTGATTAAAAAAAAAAATTTCACATCAAGACAATAAAAGATTTTGAGTAGGCAGATATTTTCTGGGTAGGTAGGGTTAGGGCAAACAAACATATTCTTTTTTATGGCCTTGGTTATTTCTGATTTATATATAAAAGCAAATAATAATGATATGGTTTGAATAGGTAAATTAATTTTTTTTAAGTTCTTAGACCACATTCATTCTGTGTCAGAAACCTATGCTGTGTCAAATATTTAATCACAATCCAAATTCAGAGCTGTATCAAGCTTGAATGTTGTGTCCACACTTGCCCCACCTGTTCAGGGTTCGACCTCTGCGGTCGTATCAAGCTGCGCCCCAGCGGAGCATTTTATTAATATATTTAAATGAATTTGTTTGAGTTTAAAAACATTTGATCAACATTAAGCAGAAAGAGTTTTGTTCATCATCAGTCAAGGAAAATAGTGCTTAAAACTGCTGCAAATCGATTATCGAATCATGGAACCCAGAGCAACGAACAAGTTGATGTTTCCTATGATCAGTGAACCATTACTGGAACCAATAAACCTTTTACTCTGTTTAACAGATTTAATTTAATTTGTAGCCAAAGCAGATTATGGAAATCAAAGACTTCCTGCTAACAGCCAGGAGAAAGGATGCTAAATGTAAGTTAATCTGAATTGTTTTAGAAGTGACCAGGAAACATTGGCAAAGCTAGGTTAGAATCTGTCCGCTGGGAAGAGGTCTGGTAATTAAGATCACTGCTTACAGAAAATATCCGCAAATTAGTGTATGGGAAGACAATAATTCAATAGTTTTACATTTATGAAGATTTTGATAATAGGATTTTTCTTTTACAAGAAAGTATTCGACTTTTAAAAAAAATTTAAAGTCTCATATGACTAAGAATGACTAAGTTAGTTTGAGAGATACTGCTTGTGATAGATCAATGATATTTTCTATAAAGTTGCATTACTATCAGTTCAGCCCTTGCAACAAATCTTTGAGGGATCTGTAGGTGGCCTGTTGCAAGGCAAAATATCTGCCACTTACCAATTTACCCTCATTTTTCAGTGGCAGTCAAAATTTCCTCGAACTTCATCCAGGACGGCCTCTATTACAGGACCTACCTATTGCATTTATTGTTAATTTGTTCTCATCCTGAACATGCATGAATTATTTGCCACTGGATATTAAGCAGCCAACAATCAATCAATCAATACTATCAGTCAGGGTTTCCCCTTGGTCAATTTTCTTTTTCGCCACCTCTTTCGCAAAAAAAAAAAAAATAAATATATTTTTTGCCACTTTCATATAATTTTTTCCGCCAACTAACATAAACATATTTTTTGTTTAAAATTTTCCTTCTTTCTTACAAAAACAAATTCAGTTTGAGGCATTGTTGTATTAATAATTCTATAAATTTAATTTCTAATCTACATTGTAACAAATAAGCACTAAATAATAACAAACTTAATATTTGCTATTTAAAAGATGGCATACCGGGCAGTAAGTAAGTAAAATTGCAATATAGATCATGAAATCATCATTTTTGGCTTCGGGGAACACAGGATTTGCATGCCCCCGCCGTAACAGAGGGGGCATTAAGTTTTACCCTTGACAGTCTGTACGTACGTACGTACTTCCCAAAATTGGTTTCCGTTCTCTAACTTTAGTTTGCCTCAACCAAATGGTATTAAACTTATACACAATGCTAATTACCACAAAACACAGATCAGGTTTGAATTTTGGTGGCGTCACTATTACCGTTCAAGAGTTATGCCCCTTTACAAATGGAAAAATGCTGAATTTTTCGTTTCCGTTTTCTAACTTTAGTTTGCCTCAACCAAATGTTATGAAACTTATACACAATGCTTATTACCACAAAATACAGATCAATTTGAATTTTGGTGGTGTCACTTTAACTGTTCTAGAGTAATGCCCATTTACAAATGGAAAAAATGCTGAATTTTTCATTCCATTCTCTTAACTTAAGTTAGCCTCAACCAAATGTTATGAAACTTATAAACAATGCTTATAACCACAAAATACAGATCAAGTTTGAATTTTGGTGGTGTCACTTTAACCGTTCTAGAGTTATGTCCCTTTACAAATGGAAAAATTGCTGAATTTTTATACAACCGCAAAAATTAAAAATTTTTTGGTCGTATATTGGTATGACGTTGGCGTAGTCGTCGTTGTCGTCGGCGTCGTCCGAAGACACATTGGTTTTCGCACTCTAACTTTAGTTTAAGTGAATGGATCTCCATGAAATTTTACCATAAGGTTCAAGACCACAAAAGGAAGGTTGGGATTGATTTTGGGGGTTATGGTACCAACAGTTAAGGAATTAGGGGCCAAAAAGGGGCCAAAAATAAGCATTTTGTAACTTCCAGACAATAACTTGTGTGTAAGTGTATGGATCTCTCTGAAATTGTACCACAAGGTTCCATATCACAAAGGGAAGGCTGTAATTGATTTTGGGGGTAATTGCCTCAAAATTTTAGGAATTAGGGGCCAAAAAAGGGGCAAAAAACAAGCATTTTTCTAGTTTCATGACAATAACTTGTGTGTAAGTGTTTGGATATTTCTGAAATTGTACTACAAGGTTCTATATCACAAAGGGAAAGCTGGAATTGAGTTTGGGGGTAATTGCCCGAAACCTTTAGGAATTGGGGGCCAAAAAGGGGCCAAAAATAAGCATTTTTTTCTAGTTTCCAGACAATAACTTGTGTTTAAGTGTATGGATCTCTCTGAAATTGTACTGCAAGGTACCATACCACAAAGGGAAGGCTGGGATTGAGTTTGGGGGTGATGAATCATAAGGGGTTCAAAAAATTTGGGGGGGGGGATTTTTTTTTTTTCTTTTTTTTTTCTTTTTTTCCTTTTTTTTTTCTTTTAAAATTTTCCATTTTAAGTTGGTTATTTCTGATTTATATTTAAAAGCAAGTAATAATGATATGGTAGGAGATACACACCAAACAGGATGTGTAAATTATTATATAATAAGTATTGTGCAATAGCAAGAAATTTTCAATTGCACAGTATTGCACAATAGCAAGAAATCTTCAATTGCACAGTATTGCGCAATAGCAAGAAATCTTCAATTGCACAGTATTGCGCAATAGCAAGAAATCTTCAATTGCACAGTATTGCGCAATAGCAAAAAATATCCAATAGCACAATATTGCGCAATAGCAAGAAATTGTCAATTGTACAGTATTGCGCAATAGCAAGAAATATTCAATTGCACAGTATTGTGCAAAAGAAGATACTTCCTATAAATTGCTTATTTCTTGATCAATTTCAATGGGGTTTTATTCTTGAATTCTTGGGGTTCTTTAATATGCTGAATCTGACCATGTATTAAGTTTTTGGATTTTGGGCCCTGTTTTTAAATTGGTCCACATTGAGGTCCAGAGGGTCCAAAATTTAACTTTGTTTGATTTCATCAAAAATTTAATTATTGGGGTTCTTTGATATGCCGAATCTAACCTTGTATTTAGATTCTTAATTTTTGGTTCCGTTTTCAAATTAGTCTACATTAAGGTCCAAAGGGTCCAAAATTAAACTTAGTTTGATTTTAGCAAAAATTGAAATTTTAGGGTTGTTTGATATGCTGAATCTATACATGTATTTAGATTTTTGATTATGGGCCCAGTTTTCAAGTTGGTCCAAATCGGGGTCCAAAATTAAACTTTGTTTGATTTCAACAAAAATTGAATATATGGGGTTCTTTGATATGCTGAATCTAACCATGTATTTAGATTTTTGATTTTTGGGCCCCGTTATCAACTTTGTCCACATTGAGGTCAATAGGGTCCAAAATTAAACTTTGTTTTGATTTCATCAAAAATTGAATTCTTGGGGTTCTTTGATATGCTGAATCTAACCGTGTATTTAGATTCTTAATTTTTGGTTCCGTTTTCAAATTGGTCTACATTAAGGTCGAAAGGGTCCAAAATTAAACTTAGTTTGATTTTAACAAAAATTGAATTCTTAGGGTTCTTTGATATTCTGAATCTAAACATGTATATAGATTTTTGATTATGGGCCCAGTTTTCAAGTTGGTCCAAATCGGGGTCCAAAATTAAACTTTGTTTGATTTCAAAAAAAATTGAATATATGGGGTTTTCTTTGATATGCTGAATCTAACCATGTATTTAGATTTTTGATTTTTGGGCCCCGTTATCAACTTTGTCCACATTGAGGTCAAAAGGGTCCAAAATTAAACTTTGTTTGATTTCATCAAAAATTGAATTCTTGGGGTTCTTTGATATGCCGAATCTAACCATGTATTTAGATTTTGGATATTGGACCATAATAGGTGAATGTCCAATTTAAAATTTTTAAGTTCTCGGACCACATTCATTCTGTGTCAGAAACCTATGCTGTGTCAAATATTTAATCACAATCCAAATTCAGAGCTGTATCAAGCTTGAATGTTGTGTCCATACTTGCCTCAACTGTTCAGGGTTCGACCTCTGCGCTCGTATCAAGCTGCGCCCTGCGGAGCATTTTATTTTATATTGTTCAATTCATACCCGAGTCTACAATTAAAGTAACAGTTCAAATTCAAAGCTGTTTAGTGATTAAGTGTATCATATCTAGTTGCACTATTCTATTAGTTCCTCTGTGAAAATGAAGTAAGAAACTTCCAGATTTTTTAATACTGGCCCTTCGAAATTAAGAAGAAATAACCTCTTGGAATTGTAGTACATGTAATATGTTTACACTATAAAAATATCAACATGTAGTATCAACATTTATTAATGATGGAAGAAAATTACTGTCACATTTTATTGGATTGTGATGTATTTTGTCACCTGCCTAGAATTATGATTTTTATGCCCCCGCCGTAGCGGTGGGGGCATTAAGTTTTACCCTTGTCCGTCTGTACGTACGAACGTACGTACGTACGTACGTACGTACGTACGTAAGTACGTCCGTCCGTCCGTACGTCCCAAAATTGGTTTCCGTTCTCTAACTTGAGTTTGCCTCAACCAAATGTTATGAAACTTATACACAATGCTTATTACCACAAAACACAGATCAAGTTTGAATTTTGGTGGCGTCACTGTAACCGTTCTAGAGTTATGCCCCTTTATAAATGGAATAATTGAAAAAATTTTAGTTTCCGTTCTCTAACTTAAGTTTACCTCAACCAAATGTTATGAAACTTATACACAGTGCTTATAACCACAAAACACAGATCAAGTTTGAATTTTGGTGGCGTCACTGTAACCGTTCTAGAGTTATGCCCCTTTATAAATGGAATAAATGGAATAATTGGAAAATTTTTAGTTTCCATTCTCTTACTTAAGTTTGCCTCAACCAAATGTTATGAAACATATACACAGTGCTTATTGCCACAAAACACAGATCAAGTTTGAATTTTGGTGGCGTCACTTTAACCGTTCTAGAGTTATGCCTCTTTATAAATGGAAAAATTGCAAAATTTTTAGTTTCTGTTCTCTAACTTAAGTTTGCCTCAACCAAATGTTATGAAACTTATACACAATGCTTATTACCACAAAACACAGATCAAGTTTGAATTTTGGTGGAGTCACTTGACCGTTCTAGAGTTATACCCCTTTATAAATGGAAAAATTGCAAAATTTTTATTTTCTTGTAAATATCAAGTAATTTATATTAAAATTGGAGTTATCTTCCTTTGTCCATGATTATAGTTGAATCAACTACAATCAATGCTTTATACAATGCAATGTTTAATTTTGACTTCCACTGATAAAACACAGTTCAAGTTGAATTTGGGTAGTGTCACTTTAACCATTATTGAGGTATGCCCTTTATAAATCGAAAGAATGCAAAATTTTTAGTTTCCATTCTGTTACTTTAGTTTGCCCCAACCAAACATTATGAAACCTATACACAATATTCATCACCACAAAACTAAGATCAAGTACAAATTTTTTGTTTCCGTTTTCTAACTTTAGTTTGCCTCAACCAACTGTTATGAAACTTATACACAATTCTTATTACTACATAATACAGATTAAGTACGAAATAAGGTGGCGACACTTTTACCATTCTTGAGTTATGTCCCTTTATAAACATAAAAATTGCTGAATTTTTTTGTTTGTTTCAACTTAATGTTATAAAACTTATACACAACCGTTCTAGAGTTATGCATGTTTACAAATAGAAAAATTGCTGAATTTTTAGTTTCTGTTCTCTACTTAAGTTAGCCTAAACCAAATGTTATGAGACTTACACACATGCTTATTACCACAAAACTAAAATCAAATTCAAATTTGGGTAGCGTCACTTTTACCGTTCTTCAGTTATGTCCCTTTATAACTATATGATATGCAAGCGGGGGCATCATCTGTGTCCACATGTGGACACTATCCACATTTATTTAAAGCAATTGCTTTTATGCCATCGCGTATGGCTTTCTTTGTGATGCAAATCAGAGACTCCGCCCAGATCAAGCCATAGTATTTTGTTAAACAGGCTCCTGGTCTGTCATTCTTAAACACCTATGTATGTTTTCTAATGCAATACATAGCTTGAAACTTTTGAAAAACGTAAGTGGATTTAAGAGGTTTCAGCATATGTTCTTGTAGATGTATTTTTAGCTCACCTGACCTGAAAGGTCAAGTGAGCTTTTCTCATCACTTTGCGTCCGTCGTCCGTCGTCCGTCGTCCGTAAACTTTTACAAAAATCTTCTCCTCTGAAACTACTGGGCCAAATTTGACCAAACTTGGCCACAATCATCATTGGGGTATCTAGTTTAAAAAATGTGTCCGGTGACCTGGCCAACCAACCAAGATGGCCGCCATGGCTAAAAATAGAACATAGGGGTAAAATGTAGATTTTGGCTTTTATCTCTGATACCAAAGCATTTAGAGCAAATCTGACATGGGGTAAAATTGTTTATCAGGTCAAGATCTATCTGCCCTGAAATTTTCAGATGAATCGGACAACCCGTTGTTGGGTTGCTGCCCTTGAATTGGTAATTTTAAGGAAATTTTGCCGTTTTTGGTTATTATCTTGAATATTATTATAGATAGAGATAAACTGTAAACAGCAATAATGTTCAGCAAAGTAAGATCTACAAATAAGTCAACTTGACCAAAATGGTCAGTTGACCCCTTAAGGAGTAATTGCCCTTTATAGTCAATTTTTAACCATTTTTCGTAAATTTTTGTAATCTTTTACAAAAATCTTCTCCTCTGAAACTACTAAGACAAATTTAACCAAACTTGTCCACAATCATCATTAGGGTATCTAGTTTAAAAAATGTGTCCGCTGACCCCGCCCGTGAACCAAGATGGCCGACATGGCTAAATACAGTACATAGGGTAAAATGCAGTTTTTGGCTAATATCTCTGAAACCAAAGCATTGATAGCAAATCTGACTAGATAAAATTGTTCATTAGGTCAAGATCTATCTGCCCTGAAATTTTCAGATGAATCGGACAACCCATTGTTGGGTTGCTGCCCTTGAATTGGTAATTTTAAGGAAATTTTGCCGTTTTTGGTTATTATCTTGAATATTATTATAGATAGAGATAAACTGTAAACAGCAATAATGTTCAGCAAAGTAAGATCTACAAATAAGTCAACTTGACCAAAATGGTCAGTTGACCCCTTAAGGAGTAATTGCCCTTTATAGTCAATTTTTAACCATTTTTC